ATAGCTTACCCTTTTTTTACTATGCATACTGTGTGATGGTAGAATAAAAATGTCTGAACGCAATCCGCACGATCGAGATTTTTTTTCAGCAATATAACGATTGAATTTAGTTATTGCTTCTATTTTTAAATTCATAAACTGTAGTTTTGGTTTATTATCATAAAATTATACGTATATTAGGTAATCGTATTTCCATTACTAAATATGTAATATTTATTACTATACCGCGAATTGCAGTCTCTAATTAAGCATGACAGTTTTTTTTTTAAATAATAAACTGTGAAATAATAAATAAATTTTATTTTTATTCATTTTCATTTATTCGTTGTTAACATAGAAGTAGAAACAATCATAATTTGTATCTGTGCTTGAACTAGGTGTTAAAAACTGTATCTCAAGCAGCAGTAAATAAATAAATACATTGTGTCCGAACCTGTGTCGGTAGGCAGCGGCTTGGCTCTGCCCCTGGCATTGCTGAAGTCCATGGGCGACGTTAACCACTCACCATCAGGTGGGCCGTACACTCGTCTGCCTATAAAGGCAATAAAAAAAAAATAACCTTAATGTGCCAATTCTTAATAATTTTTTATAGACCTATTCGTTTGCGCTGGTTGGTGTTTAGCGAAGGTGCCCCAGACGGGTCGTTCGTAAAATACATCGGACATTTATTTCACGTTCTCCAGGGTTAGCAAACGATATATTAATCTACTTATATAGATTTATAGGTAACAATAAATTTGGCTGTACTCAAGGGAGATCTTATGTTGCAATTAAACTTCATATTTAAATTATATCTAATATAAATGTTGTATGATTTTTTTTATTGCCTAGATGTGTGGACGAGCTCACAGCCCACCTGGCGTTAAGTGGTTACTGGAAACCATAGACATCAACAACGTACATGCGCCACACACCTTGAGATATAAGTTCTAAGGTCTCAGTATAGTTACAACGGCTGCCCCACCCTTCAAACCGAAACGCATTACTACTTCACGGCAGAAATAGGCGGGGCGGTGGTACCTACCCGTGCGGACTCACAAGAGGTCCTACCACCAGTAAAAAATTGAAATTTGCTGGGTTGTGTGTTTTTGTAAGAGATGATTTAAGGAATCATTCACGAGAAACATCAGGAGCTGGAGTTGCCAGTTGTTAATGTACTAAAAGCCCTTCGAAGTAACTATTAAAACGTTCTAGAAGTTTCTTTTACTGAATCTACATTTGCAATAAATTTTTAGAGTGCATTAATAAATTATTCAAACTACACTGACCACTTTCATAAATTGACGATACGTATGCTATATAACTCATGTCTACGTCGGCCTAGCTCCAGTCAGTCGTCTTGTAGTCTGTACCTACGCAATTTCAGGGTTTCAATGTTCCACGCCCACGTAATTTTGCCTGAAAACACTTTTCAGAAGATACACGCGAATTCGACGCTTACTTGTACCCTACTTCGATTTAGTACCGAAGAGAACTCTCCCGAGACGATGGTTATTTACGTATTTAGCTTTCGATATTATAATTTTATGAAAACATTTTTTTTTTTATATTCTACGTAATACCCAGTGGTATTACATGATTTAAAAGCGAATGCTTAAATAGGGTTTTTTGAGGTTATGTTTTTCTTTTTTTTTTTTTTTTTATACGTTTACACGTCATAGCATTTGTAGAATTAATAATAGCACTACAGGGAAGGTTTTTGGATATAATTCAGTAAGCGTAAGATAGATGGCACGCGAAGAAGTCTCATAAGCTGATCCCTATGAGCTCACGTTCGGTGAAGCTAGTATAATCCCCGCAATAGGTATGCCAAAAGATGGTGCGCGAGTTCATAGATAATAGACTTGGAGAATCCTAATAATTATTTATCAGCAATCAATTATTAATTAGCATAATTTACATAAATACTAATTACAGCTGTTCAGGAGCATTAGAAGTCTGCACAGGCACGCACTACCACTTTCTATTTTTGCCGTGAAATGTGTTTCGGCTTGAAGGGCGGGTCAGCCGTTGTACCATAATTCTGAGACTTAGAATTGATTTCTCAATTCGAGTGATAGCATATACATTGTTGATGTCTACGGGCTCCGGTAAGCAGATACCATCAGGTGGATCGTGAGCTTGTCCATCCATCTAAGCAATAATAAAGGTAGTTGTGTAGCTTGCATAGAAAATGCGAGACTAGTTATTTGCGAACTAATTAATTAATTTCAGGCAGCGGCATTTTTTAATAACCAAAATAAAGTATGTAGTTTAGAAAATGCGAGACTACTTATTGACGAACTAATTAAATATTTTCAGACAGTGGCATGGATTTTTAATATCCAATATAAAGTATTCGCTTATTAAAAAATAAATTTATAATAAGAATATTTTCCCTTCCCTAAATACACTTAAATTAAAGTGAAATTTTAATTTTGTACCAAGGCTACTGCCTAATTGAATGGAATAAATCTGCCGCCTTCCAAATTAGGATCCTAAAATGTAAGGTTAAAATTAATTGAACCGACATTATGCCTGGATTAGCTTATCGTCTCGTCTGAATCTGAAGTTCGAGGACGTTCGGCCCCAGATTATTAATTTCAGTGCTAGTGAAAGGCCGAGAAAAGTGCCTCAAGAATAAAATATTTTCTTTTTAACATGCCTTTGTTAGCTTGGCATGTTTGTAAGTTTGTTTATCTATACATATAAATAAAATTAGAGTGTCTGTTTGTAATATTATTGAAATAACCGCTTTTTACTACATGCACATGAATTTATATATTTATATTTATAGGTATACGGTGCATACACCAAAATAACATTTTTTACAATTTTTGTCTGTCTGTCTGTTTGTTCCAGTTAATCTCTGCAATGGCTGGACCGATTTTAACTTAATGTTTCCGAAGCGAAGCGAGAGCGGGTCGCTAGTATGGAATATAATCTTTGAAAGTCACCTTCGCCGCCTTAAAACGACCGATTGACTTAAAAATTTGCACACGCATCAAGGTCCAAGATAGCATAATTTTGTAACTTCTCTCTAATTATATCTTGAGCAGTATCAAAAGGATAAAACGATTTACAAATTAAATTATTAGTTCGGTTTGCTATTAAGAACGTGTTTTTTTTTTTAATTTTTAAACCACATTTTACTGAATGATAGGATTTTCAGAGACGTGCCTACATCCGGCCTAGTGATATCGGTATCCAAAGGTAGACGTTAATGAGCTCGAAGCCTACAGCTACCCATAGCGTTCAACAAAATGCCAGTCCAACAAAAATAGCAATGAAAGAAAACTTCTAGACGCAAGACGTTCATGAAGGATTATCACTATGAAATAATAACAAGGACTAATTTAGCGTTATAAAAATCTTAACTGCAAAGTTTATACGGAATTTCTAATTGTACGACGTATTGTCAGGCTGCACGATTAGCATGACTTTCTTGTATATTTCAACCGCGAAAGCTTTAGTTCCAGCTTGAAGGGCGAGACATCAGTTACACTATACAATTGATGATTAGGATCTCGTGTTTCAACCGACAAGTGTGCTTAGTGCGAGTTTTTTAAGGTTCTCGATAGCGTAAAAGTTAGCTCATATTTGTATGCAATGGGATCGTTTGCCTACGTTTGCCGCTAGGGGCGCTGTTCCAACTGCATACTAAATTGGCCTAACTTTTACGCTATCGAGAACGTTAAAAAACTCGCACTAAGCACACAGATCTCGTTCATGCTTAAAAATAATTACGCATTCACGACACAGAAATGTATCCGTCTTTCGCTTATCATTTTTAAATCGAAATTAAATTCGAATTGTATATTGTTTATTCTTGAAGTACGCACGGTGGAAATATATCTATATATTAATACGTGAAGCAAAAACTTTGTACCCCTTTTTACGAAAATTGCCCGGACGGAGGAGTATGAAATTTTCCACACTTATAGAGAATATAGAGAAGAAGTGCACAATGCTAATTTTTTTTTTAAATAATGCATAAAAGATACATTAAATCAATAAAGAAAACATTACACACACTACATACCATGTATTTGACGCACACACGCATGCATACTATTTATTGTCAAACTTTTGTTCTTGATGTCAGTTGTCAAATTGAGAATAGATTAAATATTGTTTGTCTTTGTTAATATTTTTTATAGTGTAGTCTTGGCGAAATTTGTATTAATATGACCATAATAACGTTAAAACTTATAATTTCAATTAATTATAGTCGAATTGCGACTACTGCGGGACCACTAGTATTAAACAAATATGATAAATTATTGCTTGAATTCTCGACGAGGTATGTACGCGACATAGGAAATTACTGTTGAACAGATTCTGAACTGATAAACTCGATGTTTCGACAGTTTGCATTCGAATTTGACATTACGACCGCCATTTTCAGTATCTCATGAATGAATTACTTCCGAGGAAGTTTTATGATGTTTTTTTTGTTTTTATTTCTCTTATAATTCACTTGATTTAATGTGCGTTACGAATGCAAAAATAGAAAATTAGTAACTAGAGGGTTTTTCGTATGGCTAACTTATTACGGGTTGTCCTAGTGATATAGATTGTATTTTGAGATCTTGGCATCCGAAGGTTGACTAGATGCTTATTACGCGTTGTCTCCTAGTGATATAGATTGTTATTTGAGATCTTGGCATCCGAATATTGACTAGATGAGATCGCTTTCAGTGATAAGTCCAGCCATTGTACTTTGATTTTAAGTAAAAAATTTCTCATTATTTTTTTCTGTATATTGTCGTTATTATGATGTACCTAAGTGCAATAAAGTGTTTTGTGCTTTATTATACTGTAAGCGTGCAGGGTTCGTCGTCATCCGTTTCCGGCACGCAGCCGTTATTTGGCTTCAAATTGGGACAAGTGCTATTCTAATCTATTTGGGGCAATGTGCTCGGAGGGTTCGTCAATAGCCTCTATACGCCGCACCTACTTTATGTTTATTTCAATTTCTATCACCCGATCTTCGTTGTAATTCAATCGCGTCACCTCAGATACGAGAATGAGAAGAACGCTCTGGTGGTGTCGGTGGTGTCGTGCCAGAACCTCCCGGGCCGCGAGCCAGCCGGACCAGACCCCTACGTCAAGCTTCAACTGCTCCCCGACAAACAACACAAGGTTAAAACTAGGTATGTATGAAAAAAAAAACGCATAAATACTTATCCATGATAAAGGTGTTTTTGTTTAAATTGGAACTTTGAAGTCGTCGTGGCTTAAGCGGTGTTCGAATCCCGCAGGCGGGTACCAATTTTTCCAATGAAATACGTACTTAACAAATGTTCACGATTGACTTCCACGGTGAAGGAATAACATCGTGTATGTACCTAATAAAAATCAAACTCGCAAAATTATAATTTGCGTAATTACTTGTGGTTATTTCTGCCGTGAAGCAGTAATACGTTTCGGCTTGGGGGGCGGGACAGCCGTAGCTAAAAGTGAGACCTTTAAACTCATGTTTCAAGATAAGCAATAAAAAAAAAAACATAGTATAATCATAGTTATCGACGAGCAAACAATGGAAACCCACTATGTTGTGTCTGATACATTTTAACCATCCGCTACGAACTAGTTCACTTGGCCCAGAATCATTAAAGATAATCTAGGCCTTTTTGTATGGCTCATATCATTTAACAATAAAATATTTTAATCCAAGAAAACGAATCAACTGTATATTTTAAACAATGTTGATAAAAACTAGGTTCTAGAAATAATAGTTTAAAATAACTAACAAAATACGCTTTTATAGAAAATCCAACTAAAGAATAGAAAATAAATTTGAATTAAGAATAATGTAAGAAAAAATGATTTTATTGTAAAAAAGCGTGGGGGGTTGAATTCCAATTTTTTCAATATTTTTTTTTAAATATTTCATTGTCATCGGTCCTTAATAAGTATACCAAATTTCGAGTTAATCCGACGTTTTGAAGGGGGTCAAAATCATGTTCAAAGATTCGGTTACATACATACGTCTGAAGCTAATAAAAGCGTATTAATAATAAATGGTAATTTCATAACATTATCCTTTAGTCGATATTAAATGATGGTCGTATTACTCAGGGTTGTCCGTAAGACCCGTTGCCCAGTTTACGATGAAGACTTCACCTTCTACGGTATCGCTCCGCATCAGATCGCCGGCATCACCCTGCACTTCGTGGTCCTCAGTTTTGATCGGTATGTTTAGCTTCACTACTGTTATTTGTATTTGAATTCAGTTGCGGGTAGTTATGATGAAACACATGATTTCTGACGGGCTTTTTGGCGGGAGCGCGAGGAGTGAAGTTGTCTGATTTGTTTTATTTTGTCGATTTAGTGTTTCCTCAGGTATAAATTGTGTAATAACGGTGGTTTATTAACTGTTTAAAGTCTGTGAAAGTGCACAAATATGGGAAAATGAAAAAAAACCGCTGGACGTAACTTCTCGGGATCCTCCAAAAAGTCCACTGAAAAAATCTCAGTAAATGACCACCATTTTACTGAGATTATATTTCATCCCATATCGTCTCACTTCATTTATTTTCATCCCAGTTGATTAACGTTTCAAATTAATCATCTTCATTTCATTTCATATTATCATTTTCCATAAAAATAAGAATATAAATTAAAATAAGACGTGACTTAAAGGTCTTAGTTACTTGGTCATAAAATCACTTAAAAAAAAGAGATTTCTGACAGATACCTGAATCTCGCTAATGACATTTACAAGATAAGTTTGTATACATGCAAGTTCTTTAGCAGTAACGTCCGCTCCATTAACGGTACTTTTAGGTACCACAAGCACCGTCGCTTGCGACGAAGGGCTCGACGAGTGAATTAACCCATAGACACATCCCCCTGAGTTTCTCACCGGATCTTCTCAGTGGGTCGCGATTCCGATCCGGTGGTAGATTCTGCGAAGCACTGCTCTTGCTAAGACGAGTGTTATCAACACTTTAGGTTTGAGCTCCGAGAGTTCACCGACGAGCTAGGGCAACGCTGAAATAGCCTCTCAAGGCTATCAGCATACGTAGATAAAAAAAACGTCCGTACTACTGTCGGTCTACTGAGCAATTTCACTGGCTCTGTCTAAGATCTTTTCTTTGTCGTTACCCTCAAAGTTTCTTTACCCGTTGTACTTTATGAGAGCATCCTCTACTTCTGTTCAACATATATTCATACATATACAGGGTTACAGGTTAAGTCAACCTATTCCCGTTAAGAGCGTGTAGCTTACATCGTTTCTGACTGATTTGACTATGAAACACCCTACCCTAAATCTAACCGATCTGGAGATATTTCAATTTAATTGTTTTTTATAAAAAATACCCGATTTTCGGCTATCAGCTTAGATATTTTGAAATGCGTAAGTCTTATTATTATTATTACATGATTTTTACTTGTAAAATAAGATGCTGTATGACCCCAATAATAAATATTGTACGTAAAATGAATAAACAAGTCGTTTTAGACGATTACAACTTATAAAAACTAAGAAAAAATTAGAAAGATTATTTTTCTTTCAAGGATATCATAAAAAAATATTATGGCGCCTGTTTGGCAGATGTGCTTAACAATATCTACGTTTCATCAGCTATCCAACAAGGTATAGCAATCTAAGGTTTTATCAAAAATTTGTCGAAAACACTTAGTTTTATAGGCTACAGGGGAGGCTAAATAAAACAAGTATGTACAAGATACTACATTTATTAAACTTTCAAGTTCCAACAAAACATCCTAAGGTCTAAATTTCATGCCCATTATGTCCGGGACTGTTTTGCACTCATGTTCGCATTATTTTACGAAGTCCAGTTTTATTACACCAGTAATTAATTTCCTTCTCATTTCATTCGCCGCATTAATAATCCTGTCTCTCAATACTTCAATTGATGAAATTGGGTTGGGCTCACTGTACACGAGACTCTTCATGTGTCCCCCTACACATAAAAATCCATGGGGGTTAGGTCCGGACTTATGGCTGGCCAGGGTATAGGCCCACCTCGTTCAATTCATTTGTTTGGATAATTTGTGTCTAGCTATTCTCTGGCACTTCTCCTGAAATGCACAAGGCATGCTGAAATCACGTCTTGAATCAGATTGACAAATCATCTAATAGCTCATTTAGGTCTCCTCGCAGGAAATGTTCATAGTATGCCTCATTTAAATTGTCGGGGAGAAAGTAAGGCCCAATCAAATGATCGGAAATAATGCCCATCCACACATTCAGGCTGTCTCGCTCGCACGCACTGCATTAACATTGAAAGACAATTGGCGAGGGACTGTTAGAACTGCTACCTGGAGGCTCGCAACTAAATATTTTCTATGATGTTTTATTTAAACCCTAGATTGTTATACCTCGTTGGATAGCTGATGAAACGTAGATATTGTTAAACACATCTGCCAAACAGGCGCCATAATATTTTTTTAAGATATCCTTGAAAGAAAAATAGTCTTTCTAATTTTTTATTCGTTTTTATAAGTTTTAATCGTCTAAAACGACTTGTTTATTCATTTTTCGTACAATATTTGTTATTGGGGTCATACAGCATCTTATTTTACAAGTAAAAATCATGTAATAATAATAATAAGACTTACGCATTTCAAAATATCTAAGCTGATAGCCGAAAATCGGGTATTTTTTATAAAAAACAATTAAATTGAAATATCTCCAGATTGGTTAGTTTTAGGGTAGGGTGTTTCATAGTCAAATCAGTCAGAAACTATGTAAGCTACATGCTCTTAACGGGAATAGGTCGACTTAACCTGTAACCCTGTATAAGTCATACAAAGCAGACAAGTTAAACACAACCAACACTATAATAATAAAAGAATAAAACATCACATCATTTATTTTTTTGATTGGTGTCTTTAATTTAAACTTATTTTTACATTCCCTTAACAATAAAATTTTGTTATACTTTGTGGGCCCCACTAAAGAAAGCAGATAAGCTTAAATGGTTATTGTCGTCTTCGGACTTCAAGTCCAAAATTTGAACCAAGGCTACGTTAAATAAAGACTCATTTCAAATACACAATTTGACACCATTTTAATATGGTAGTAAATGACCACTTAATTATGACAAGAATTCAAGGTTTTCATTTTGCTTTTGTTGAAAATAGTAAATAGTACTTGTAAGTTGTAGTAAGCATATAATATTTCTATAAAATATTTACTTCGGTTTCCAGATACTCCCGGGATGAGATAATCGGCGAGGTGGTGTCTCCGCTGTCCAACCTCCAGCTCCAAAGCGGCGAGGCCATGGCTCTGTGCCGCGAGATCCAACCGCGGAGCCTCAAGGTAAGCCCAGTAGTTTCTTTATGAGTCCATCAATGAGTCCATAGTGTTCCACAATAGCTCAAATCTGGTGACAGGACGTCTTAGAAGTCCTTACGGGTAGATACCATCACCCTGCCTATTTCTGCCGTGAAGCAGTAACGCGTTTCGGTTTGAAGGATGGGGCAGCCGTTGTAACTATACTTGAGACCTTAGAACTTAACTCGAGGTGGGTGGCGCATTTACATTGTAGATTTCTATGGGCTCCAGTAGCCACTTAACACCAGGTGGGCTGTGAGCTCGTCCACCCATCTAAGCAATAAAAAAAATTGAGTCTCTTAAAAAATCTTTGGAGGAAGCAGTGGCGAAATTTCCATTGGAAACAGTGCGTGAATCCATACATTCGTGGCCAAACAGATTAAAGGCTTGTATAAAAGCTAAAGGTGGCTCACAAAAAAAATGGGTCACGATCCCGATCCGTTGGTGGTTTCTATAAAGAACCAGTCTCACTAGATGTTAGCAAAGTTTCTCAGGCTGAGTTGTGCAGCGTAGAGTTGTGTGGTGCGCAGATGCGGTCGGCCGGTCGCGGCGAGGTGCTGGTGTCGCTGTGCTGGCAGCCGGCGGCGGCGCGCCTCACCGTGGTGCTGCTGAAGGCGCGCAACCTGCCGCGCATGGACCTCACCGGCCTCGCCGACCCGTACGCACACACTCACACTACACCCGCCGACACGAACCGATGCATGCCACAACTTGACTACCGAAACACGATATTGAAATGCCATCTTTTCCCCTCCGGGCGGAAAGTGGCAACTTTCGTCCCGCTGCGCTAAACAAATTGCCGCTTTCCGCCTTTGTCGGACAAAAAAATAGTATACAGCCCTTGGAAAGTCAAAAAGTAAACCTCAGATCACATGTAACTGTTGGCTGAGGCGAAGCCGAAGCTTTTCTTATTTTCCTTCCCAAGGGGTGTAATATACTATTATTTGTATACCACGTATCTTTGTAGATTGTTTATCTCACGCCCTATTACCACTATATATCAGTTGCACATTGGTATACAGCTCAAAGAACGCTACACAAATTCTCCGATGATTTCATTACTTGCCTTAAGCCGTCCACGGGAATATGGGGTGCTGTTATTGAATCGCCGAAGCAAAATTGGTCCGAGAACTTGACTAACTTTAGACAATAAAAAAAAACCAACCATCTTTACACATCTAAGTTATTTAGCTTTAGTGGTAGGACGTCTTGTCAGTCCGCGCGGGTAGGAACCATCGCCCTGCCTGTTTTTGTCGTGAAGCAGTAATGCGTTTGAAGGGTGGGACAGCCGCTGTAACTATACTGAGACCTTAGAACTTATATGTCAAGGTGCGTGGCGTATTTACGTTGTGGTTATCTATAAATAAAATAAAATAAAAAAATAAAAAAAATAAAAATAAAAAATAAAAAAGCCTGTATTTCCTTATCCTGAACTTACATTTGCAATGTGGTATTTATTTGTTAGTGTTTAGTTAGTTATTAATGCTTATTGTCTAAATGTTAGTACGAGTTAATTTTTGTTATTGGATATGGACCCCTCCTCGGGTGAAGGCCTCCTCCAGTCCTTTCCACTGATCTCTGTCCTTGCCGATCGTTTG